CACTCTCTCTCTCTCTCTCTCTCTCTCTCTCTCTCTACTACGCCACTGCGCTGCTGACTGGTCTAAGGTTTTGTTGTCTGCAAAGTTTGGCTTTGACACAACATACCACACACACACACCGACACACACCTGCAAAGTGGGCTGGGTGTCACCCCACCTCCCTCCCGCCTATGCAAAAGCAGCCAGATCCATTCATTGAAACGAGTAAACTTGCTCAGCTGAATTGAAAATTAACTATAAATTTAGATGGCAACATGCTAAACTCGATCTGTCCACGGCACGGGTGCTTCACTGTGGCAGGTGTCAACAACTGGCAGCACCGTTGACACCTCAGCAACAACGAAATTTAATGCGCATCCCCCATCCAAGAGTTTCCAATACAAAAATTCATTAAAAACGCCAGTTTGAAATGAAACAAGTGAAAGCTGAGCTAGCGGGTGTAAGCGACTGCTGAATACTCTGGAATGTGTAGAGCAGTGCAGGATTTACATTGATCATATTATCAGTTATACTCCCAATTGTTACATTTATAATTATAATTCACTTTGATGAGGGATGTTAAAAAGTCGTTAAATATTTACAATGTTTCTAAGGAAAATGGAAATAAACAATATTTTTTTTTTTATTTAAATCTCTAACGAATAGGATATCAGATGAGCTCTGTGTTCTTCATATTGTATTGTAGCTATAGAACATTTAATTCTTCTAGATACATAAATATATATATATTTTACAGTGCACTAAGAGGGGAGCTACTACTAAAAACCAAAAAATTAATTAAAGTGTTATTTTTTTTTTTTAACGTATTTTAAGATTGAATGGATAGCTTGATAAATATTGTTCCAATATTCATAAATAGACGTGAGTACTTATAACATATCTGTGCTTAAGTCCAATTCCTAATCTCCAGCTGAAAAATCTCTCTAACAATTATTCAAACAGCATAGGAATACTCAATTTTGTATACAATTTTGTTACTAGTAAGTTATACACAGATATAAGTATACGTATATATTCCCAATTCCAAGTCATTCGCTTCGCCCAAAACTAATATGCCCGTCTGCCCTATCTGAAGTCGCATAAAAATGCCCGAAATTGAATTGCCCAAAAATTTGTTTGTGCAATCCGTACAGAAGCCGCACAAAGGTGCGAACTACTTGTGCCGCTGGGGGCGGGGCGGCAGCAGGGCGAAGTTGCGACTGTTAACCCTCTTGACAAGAGCCGCTTCATAATAAGTAATACATGTTTTGTTGCGTACAAGTGTTTGGCCAAAAAAGAAAAAAAAAGTGTAAAAAAAAATAGAGAAAGAAAAAGGGTCGAGTTTTTATGGCTGACGCCTTTTTTACGCCTCTGCTTTGTGCGGGGGAATTAGAAGTGTGAAGCGAAAATGTTGTTGAATTTAACAGGCTTTAAAAAAGAGCGAATGAAATGAAATTCAATAAAAGCTAAGCGAAAGGCCCATGAAAATAAGCGCGATAAACAAAAGCCAGCGCAACTGAAACTAATAAATTGTTTGTCAAATTCAACAAATCACAAGGAGAGTTAGAGAGAGAAAGAGAGAGAGAGAGAGAGGGAAGGGGAGAGGTTTAGTAAAAGAAAGAGAGAGAGAGATGCACACACACACACACACACATTCAGCTCGTTTGAAACGTTAGCGGAAATCATTTAAGCTGCCAAATCAGCCAAGCAGCTGGGCCAAAAAGCTGCCGTCAAGCTGTACGTATTATTAAGGTAGTCGACTGCGGCTACGACTACCCGGCGGAGGCCGTGTGGCCAGATGCCAGATGCCAGAGCAGAGAGAAGGAAAGAGCAGAAAAAACAACGAGACGATTAATATTCATTCAGTGTCGCGCGTATATCACTTTTTATTTGCACAGGCAACGGGCGAGCGCCGGCAAGTATGCAATGGAATTCGCCGCACGCAGCAGCAGGTGAGCAGCGCTCGTGTGTGTGTGTGTGTGAGTGTGTGGCGCGCGTGTTGATGTGTATGAGTAACGCACAATTACATACAACAATTTGTGCTTTGTTTCTGTGCACGTCCATGTGACTACAGCGCGCCCCAAACTCCCAAATCACCAAAGAGCATTCGTGCTGCAGACCGAAAAGCGCCAAAAGCCCAAGCAAAAGCGAAGGCAGAGGCAGGGGCAGGGGCAGAGGTGGGGAAAGGGGCAGTGGCAGTGGCAGTGGCAGGCTAAGCTAGGCTAGGCCAGTGCCGGCACACGACTCGCTGCTGTCTGCCTTACCGACTGTCGTCTCTCCCCCCGGGAGGGAGGAGCACTTCAAATTGGATGGCCAAACATCAAGTTGCAGTTGCAGTTCGAATTTTTCTATGTTTCCATGTGAAAATTGAGAGAAATTGCCAAACGACTTGGTAAGCGATATTCTGTTTTGACAAGCCAACACACTCGGGATGGGCCAGCCAACTGGCATTGTGCTGCTGCTTGAACCGGAGCTGGCAGGTGTGCAGCTACACCTGCTGCTGCTGCTGCTTGCTTTGGCCACTTGGCAGTGCTTCTTCTTGAGAGTTGGCGCCACTGTTGGAGAGGACATTGCGTCAAATCAAATGAAATTCGACTGCCCGGCGCTCAGTGTTGCGTTACAGCACAGCGCAGTCAGGGCCCACAGAATTACCACTGGGATCAGGGCAAATGACGCGAAACAGTCGAAAAGGGGGATAGGGAAAGAGGGAAGCAGGGAGAGAGCAAAGGAAACGACAACAGCAACAACAACAACACGTGCCTTACATAAAAATCGTGCAGGCCATGCTAAACGTTTATCCCTTTTAGCCCCAAGGACCCAACAATGAAAGTCTTCAGTTTCAATGGCTCGTTTAGCCGCTGGCTGCCTTGGCTCCATCTTGGCTGCCTCGTAAGCTGAGACTGATTGTGATGCTGTAGTAAGTCGGATTCTGGATAAATGCCGCATCATTGGTTATTTATATGCGTGCAACTCTACCTGTATAGGTTTACACACACACACATACATAGATATATATAGATATATTTATTTGATTTCATTGATGAATGTAGCTGGATTTGCGTCCACTCACAGTGGCTTATGTCCTGTCATTAAGTTAGCCCCGGCAATGCGCATAGTTTCAGTTTAGCTAAGCACATGGCCTAATTGAAGCTCTCTCTCTCTATCTCTTTCTCTCTCTCTCTCTCTTTCTCTCTACCATCCATCTACCTCTCTCTTTGTGAAATTAATTAAATGGCATTCAAATGATTGGCTACGTGCCATTATTAATTTGCGCATAAATTATGCACATGTCTTAATGCCAAATGATTTCCTTTTTATGGCCAATCACTCGACTTGGCCACAAATTAATCAGCTCGGCCCCAATGCCTCGCGCTGTGCGTGAATGTACTCGTAAATATTTAAATGCGGCACGTTCGCCATTCACCTCGCATTTGCCCGAGCTCATTAGGAGGCGATTGCCCTGATTTATAGTTAACTCCTTCAAGCGATGCTCACTCACTCATGTTTACCATATCAATAATTGCGCAAATAATTAAGCGTGTCTCAGCTTTGTGAGCTATTTTCTATGCTGTTTGAAAACGATTCCAGGAATTTGTAACTGTGGAAAATACATACATACATGGAAAATCCTATTAAATATAAGTTATTGATCTCTGAAATAGAAAAAAAAAATTAAAAAAACATTTATAAATATATAAGAAAATTCTTAATAATGCACAGGTTTATTATTATTTGATTGATTTATTTTCTTTTTATTTATTATTATTATTTTTTTATTTTCTTTTTATTGACATTAAAC